CCTGTTAAGGAAGAACATTGGAAAAAAAAAATTCACTCACATTATCATCATCTCATTTTAACACATGCAAAAGGAAGAATGTAATCTTTTGAATCAATTCTACTCTCTGAAGAAACCCCTCCACTGTCCTCACTCTCCACGTTTCCCAGTTCATGGAACTGTCTTCACAAACCGGCAATAACTTAGTCTCTCTCAAGGAGTCTTTCCAGCTCAGGTAAAGATGGTGGTTTTCTGAATAACCACATGGGGGCAGTATGTCCTGCCCATCACCTGCCCCATCCACCAGGTGCCCCAGAGCAAGAGACCCAATTCCATCCTCCCACTTTGCTGACATCAGAAGGAAGGTTGGCCAATCTATTTCCGTAGTGATACGGCCTCAGAAACCCAAGGAGGGGTTGCTATGAGTTACGTCTGACTCGCCAGCACACAACAACAACAACAACCCTGCTGACAGCACTTACCGGCAGAAGTGAAGGCGATGGTGAGGGTGGCACTGGTGTAGAGAAATCTGAAAAACAGATTAGGAGGACATTTAAGGAAAACTTCATCAGCCAAAACAGAATTCTACTCACCAGTCTCCACATTTGGCATTTGACTCTCGCATTCTCAGCATCCAGCAGGCACTGATCCTCTTCTGCCCCAGACTCATAACCAGGTCCAAGGAGCCCCAGCGTGACTGAGCTGTGGGCCTGACCTCACAGACCACTGCCTTTTGCCCATCCCACCCTACAGAGTGCATTCCACTATGCAACGTGTGCGGTCGCCATGAGTCAGAATTGGCTTGACAGCAAGCTGGTCAGGCATTTGGTTAAGGCCCAGTGACAGAATTCCCGTCCTCCACGGTGGAGACCCAGGTCCAGCTCTCAGCCATGCACCTCATAGGCAACGACCACCCGTCTTAGTGACCAACAGTGCTAAAAACAACCCAACAATAAAATTCCAAAGTCTGGGAATTCCAGTCTGGTTCACTCCCAACTCCACTCCTCTTCCCCTTGGATGGAGGAAGAA